ATAGCTGCTAATGGGGATTTCTTTGATGAATCCAAAATTTGAGTATTTTTCTATGTTATGTTCATGTTTATGTTCATAAACTTTTTATTTAATAAAATATGTTTTCATAGTTTGTGTTGTCCCTTATTATCAATGCAAAATGGTCACTAGCTAAAGAGGATTTATGCTGATATTGCCCAAAAACCCTATTTTGTTCAGGCGTTTCCAAACTTTTGGAGGGCAGTGTATATACATTCAGGTCCATAAATATTTTGACAGTGACAATTTTTGTAATTTTGCCTCTGTACACCGCCACAGTGGGTTTGAAATTATACGTGTGCTCTCCGGTTTCTCAACGCCTGTGTGCTGCGCTTGATGTAAGTTACATTCGCCTCTAAAAATGATTAGGATGCATGTTGTGTGTTTTGCTGGCAGTGGTGTAATCATAAATTAATTTCAGTGGGGAGAAGAAATATGCAAAATAAAATCTCTTTTTTTTGTCATCTGTACTCTTTTTCTCATCAATTAAATTGGTAAGTGTGACATGCTCATGCATGTCAGGTGGATGTCAGACAGCCATAGGAACAGTGATGAATGGAATATTACCATGAAATACATTTATGACACTGAAAAAAGGTTAAAATATCTTGGTAATGATAGGGGAAAATAACACCTTTTATTATAAATCCCAATATACTTTTCTTTTGCAGTAAACTCCAGCAAGCTACTGCACTGGCTCTCCCCTTGATATTTTTGTGGTTATAGTGTGGTTATTAACTTTCACACAGAAACGAGAAAAATGCATCATCCCAGATGGCTAATCCTCTTTATCATCACAGCTGCTCTTATCGAATTAAATGTGATTTATGAATGCATTCCTTTGTTTAAACACTTTCAGTCTAATCAGTATAGATATTTGGTGTTAGCTGACAGAATATGTTAATTAAGAAAAAAAACAGATAGACTTCAATTATTGCCCTTCAGAGTCTCACAAAAAGGATCTGTGGATTTGTCCCTAGAGGACCAGTGCTTAGGGCACAGTGCTCTCACCACTGCAGCCCGGGTTCGATTTCCGGCAAGGGAGCCAACCCCAGCCACTGGGATTGCGTGCAACAGTGCACTCTCAGTGCCTGTCCCAAGCCCGGATACAGTTGGGGAGGGTTGCATTAGGAAAGGCATCCGGCATAAAAACTGTGCCAAATGAAATATGCGGACCAATGATCCACTGTGGCGACCCCTAATGGGAGCAGCCAAAAGAGGAACAATAACAACAACCCATGGACTATGGATTTGATTAAATAAATCGGCTATGTGACAAAAATCAGAATGGACAGTGTTGTTGGGGTGCCACTAGAGGATCATATTTTAAATACCCTGTACCTTTTAAATACTGAATACCTTTTAAGACTATTCTCACTTGATACAAATTTTTAAACATCTCTTTCAAATGTCATACTAATGTCATGTTCTGATGTATTTGCATCAATACTAGAACAAAGCTGATCAATCAGCTTTCTTGTCATATATTGACTTTTTGTGTCTGTGGTACTGTATTGCATTTTTGAAAATTATTTTGTCATGTGGAACATTAGTGGAAAATAATAATAATAATAATCAAGCAAGAGAAGAAGAAGAAGAAGAAGAAGAAGAAAAAGAAGAAGAATTATGATTATTGTTATTTTTGTTGTTTTTAGTATTGTTGTTAAAACTGAGTAAACATGTTCTCAGTAATATAGTGAAGATACGTAGAATACAACATGTTAAACATGTAAGATTGTAATTACTAAAATATCCAGTGTGCAATATCATATTGCACCAGGAAATGACAGTATGAGCCTATATATCTAAATTAAAGTGCTTGGACCCTGATGAACACCACTTGCGAATATATTTCATACCGATGTACTCACAATTTTACTCACAATTATGCCTGTACATTGTCTATTTTCATTCACAAGTCTTCAAGCTTTGAACTTCTTAAAATAATTCAACTGTAGAGGAAGGATGATTTTTGCTGATTTGCACTTTACAAATAGAGTGGCCTTCTTTCTGCAAACAAATGATGCTCAACATTTTCTTGTCCAAATACTTTTTGGGACCACTGTATATAATAGCTTGTGTTTCAAGTGATCAGTTCAAGGCATAATCAAGTCAACCTCAAAACATGTTGCATTCCATGTGCCTAAAATGATTCGCCTTGCACATGCTCATAGTAAGCAAAATTAATTTTGCAACAGTGTGTTTCTGTTTTTGAGACAGGCAGGGGATATTTATTGTGACTTAATTTTGAATTTGTCTGCTATGCAAAACCAGTTAAAAACATACAGAATACCGTCACCTCGAGTTAGTTTGGGTGTCTCATTTGGTTGAAATAAGCAGTTGATTATATGACGATGTACTGCACTTAGTGACATGTTTTTAATCAAGTATAGTGAAGAGCTCTCTTGTCATGTTAGTCGATGGAAATGCTACATAGTAATATTTTTTAAATAAATAATTTTGAAATATATTTAATTTGTTTACATTTTTTTCAGTTTAAACCAGCATTTATTGATTGTTCAATGATCATTAACAATCAGCATTTATTCAAATGAACAACTTAATAAAAACTTTAATCATTTATTAAGTGTGTGTGTGTGTGTGTGTGTGTGTGTGAACTGTCGCTCACTCAATTATTTATTTATTTATTTTTTTGCACCATTCTGTGTAAACTGTAAAGACTGTTGTGTTCGAAAATCCCAGGAGATCAGCAGTTTCTGAAATACTTTAACTAGCCCATCTGGTACCAGCAACCATGCCACAGTCAAAATCACTGAGATTAAACTTTTTCCCCAGTCTGATGTTTGACGTGAAAATTAACTGACCTGTATCTGCATGATTTTTTGCACTGCGCTGCTGACACATGATTGGCTGATTAGATAATTGAATGAATGTGCAGGTGTTACAGGTGATCCTAATAAAGTGGATAGTGAATGTATATATGTATGTATATAATATTGACTGAACATAATCCTGATGGATAAACTTCTTAATGGTCACAAATAAAGAAACAGGCATAACTGTCAATTTTCATATCAGTTCACATTTGTATCTGTATATGATATGTTTTGGCAATAGATCAGGAAATTGACTCTGTAATTAATGCATTGTTCATCAGGATTACAACTTAATGTGTACTGTGCAGACTGTCTGATATTCACGTCATCATTTTCCAGAAGAGCATCATGTATAAAACAGGATAATCTGGACATGCAGTGTCAGTTCCACATAAACATCAGGTATCAAATATTCACCTTTGCAGTTCCGTGCCCTGTGGAAGCACATGGGAGTTATTTTTTTATGTTGAACGCATGGAAAAAAAAAAGTGAAAAATACCACTGCAACTAATTTATTTTGAACAAAACTGGACTTTGCAGGAAAAAATTAAATGCTGTTTTTAATTGTATATTTTTGTTCTATTTATTTTGATACAAATAAAATAAGTAACATGTTAATAACAGTTTGAGAGTTTTAAGTATACCTGCAATATTCTTGAGAAATCTTCAGATCTGAAATTGTCCATAAACTGAGTTAAATCTCTCAAAATACTGGCTGCTCTGATTGCGGTTCATTCTTCTTCCATGTGGTTGCTTTTGACAAACAAAAGAACATTACATATAGGTTATTGGTATAAGACTTTAAGTGACAGTAACTATCTTGTTGGGTGCACTTTTCATTATTGTTAAAATTTAGACTGCCCTAATTTATATGTTGACTGTGAGAAATTTTAGCACCGCCGCTGTAAGCTAATTGGCAGTGTGAGTGTCTGTATAAAGTATTCATAAGAACTTACAGGGTCATCCACTGTATCTCTGTAATCAGATGCCACTTTCCTTTTCCATTTCCTGTATGAAAAATGTTACAATTTCTGATTTGTAATGTCCCACAGTAAGCTTGTAAGTATGACTTTAGGTAAGATCTTAAATCAAGATACCTTCTAGTTTTAATGACAAGATTAGAAGAGAAGCATTCAAATATATGCACAAATTATCCATTATATTTATAATTACTAGTCAATTACTAGTCATTAGTATATGTGATACAATGTGGTAAACAGTAATGACACCTAGAGCACATGCTTGATCTTCTTGCGCTTTGGCTGAGTCTTTTTTGCTGAAACACGGTCACTTACCTGTGAATACACACAGCACAGAAGATAATGAGACAGACTGCAACAGCTCCTGTAACTGAGGGAAGTATGTAGAGTAGCATTTGTTTCAGTGGCAGTGACTCCTTCTCTGAACTGTTATTAGCTACAAAATCAGATAAAAAGGAAATCATTAATATAGATAATCTATATTAGTCAAAAAATGAATTAGAATTTATACAATATTGTGCAAAAGTCTTAGGCAAACAAAGAAATTCTTCAGAAATAATGAAATTAAATGTTTTCTCCAAAAAAAAAAGCTTCTGAAAAGTGCAGTTAGCAGCACTAAACTAAACAAAGTCAATATTTGACATGACAACTGTTTGCCTATAAAAATGCATCATCAGTTTCAGGTACATTTTGTGCAGTTTTATAAGGAAATTATCTGGTATGTTTTACTGAAAATGTTGCAGAATGTGCCACAGTTCGGCTGGGGATTTTGACTGTCACACTTGCTTCTGTTTTTGCAGGTAAAACCTAATAGCCAGCATTCATTTTTTTGTCTGAACAGTGGTTTATTATGTAATATGTTACTTTCTTTACTAACATACAAACATTTTTTCCTGAAACTTTGGGAAAATAATGTATGGATTTCCGAAATGGTTTAACTACCCCAATAATGCAAAAGTGCAAAAATAAACATCTAAGACAAAATTAGTATTAAAAAAAAAAGATTAGGGTTACTAAGACTTTTGCACAGTACTGTGTTTATAAATATACAGTGTGTTTGGAAAGTATTATTTATTTAGTAGCATTTATTAAATGAAAGCATCAAAAATCTCTCATTCAATTAAGTATTCAGACAATTTGTACTATTTTGTAGAAACATCTTTAGCAGCAGTTACAGCTGCACGTCCTTCTGGGTAAGTCTCTGCACAGAGCATGGCCAGTTTTGCGTCCTTGACTCCCAGTCCCAAATAACTGTGGCATCACTGGGATTCAAACTTGTGAACTCCAGCTAATGGGGTGAACACGTTTCTGTTGCTCCACCAATAGCCATGTTTTGATTTTTAATAAATTTGCTAAAATTTCTAAAAACATGATTTCACTTTCGCTTATGGTTTAGGGATAAAACATTTCTAAATTGTTTTTGGTGGGATATTGTTTTGGTTTCATAAAGTTGGTTGGTGTAGTGGTGTAGTGGGTAGTTTTGCCACGAGTAACGTAACACAACAAGCGGCAATGCACTGTGTGTTCAGACACCTTTCTATCATAGCCAGCATTAACGTTTTCAGCAATTTGTACTACAGTAGCTGTTCTGTGGGATCAGACCAGGCGGGCTAGCCCTTCCTCCTCGTGCATCAGTGAGCCTTGGGCACCCATGACCCTGTCGCTGGTTCACTAGTTGTCCTCCTTTGGAACATTTTTGGTAGGTACTAACCACTGCATACCGGGAACACCCCACAAGACCTGCCATTTGATAGATGCTCTGACCCAGTCGTTTAGCCTTCACTATTTGGCCCTTGTCAAAGTCGCTCAGATCCTTACACTAGCCCATTTTTCATGCTTCCAACACATCAACTTCGAGAACTGATTGTTCACTTGCTGCCTAATATACCCCACACTTAGCTGGTTTGATCCTTGTTTGAAATCGGGCTACTGTTTATGTGGAGTTTCTGTACATGGTCTCCCAACATCTGCATGGGTTTCCTCCCACCTCCCAAAAACATGCTAGTTGGTGAATTGTCTAAGATAAATTGCTCCTAGGTGTGATTGAGTGTGTGAGTGTGTGTGTGCATGGTGCTCTGCGATGGACTGACATCCCATCCAGGGTGTATACCTGTCTCCCGCCCAGTGTTCCTGGGATAGGCTCTGAATTCACCATGACCCTGGCCAGGATAAAGCAGTTACTGAAAGTGAGTTTCTTCAAGTTTAGGTGTCAAATTATCATGGGCAGA